CTGAGGATTTCGAAATGGACTTCCCTTGGGCAGTCTTAGACTCCTTCCATTAAAGAGTGAAACGATGCATTGCACGATTATATTCTGTGAAATGTGCAAAAACGCAGCGGTAGAGTTTGACCCCCGAACCAAAATACTATACCCCAAAAGGAGGATAGAATCTTACTCCATAATGGGTACCATAGTATCCCCAAATAAAATACTACTCATAAGGGCAGCCACAACAGCACTAGTCCCAGGCTTCATGCTGATGGTGGCTTGCCGTCCTCAATAAGCTTCATCATGCCATGGCTCCCATCTATGCCCCGGGCATGAAGCAATCCCGCAATTGTAGCCAGAGCCCAGCATGAATGTGACGAGCGAGGATGCATTTGATGTTCCGGGGGGAGGGGTGGGGGACTGCTTAACAAATGGAAGAAATAGCAATAATAGTAATGATCATAATAGTAATCGTATTCGTAATAATAATAGTAGTAATAATAGGTGATTGATAGGAACAACTTTTTGGGCGCCTCATGGCCGCTGCCAAATGCGGGAAGCCGCCGTTGTTGGGATGATCCTGCCAGACCCACCCAGCAATCCTCCTCCTACTCCTACTCCTACTCCTACTCCTACTAGTACTACTAGTACTAGTACTACTACTACTACTACTACCGTATAGGAACTGATAGCTTTCGTGCAGGAAAGTCTCAGTGATTTATGATACTTTGGCATCTAGCGCTCCTTTCCCACGACCAGGATGACAGCATTGTCTGGCCTAAACTTCGGGATTTGCTGTGCCCTTTGCTGCCAGTTCGCGTGCTATGACAAGCTGCAAACTGATCTTGGCACTCCGCTTGATGAACGACAACGCAATTTTGGTTGTGAGACGATTGCCGCGGCTCAGACCTGAAATGGTGGACGAGTTACTCTGGCATGGAGCTGCCGAGTCGTCTCGTTAACACTGAGATGTTCGCCAGGCACATCGACCAACCGCATGGGGCAATCAATGTCCTTGTGGAAGAGTTGGACCTGAAAGAGGAGAAGCCTAGAACAGCTTGGATAGAAGTCCAATTAAGTGCTTAGGTCCTTGCGTACACCGGCGTCTCGTCAAATGCGTCATCTGGTCGTATCATGGGCGGCATCTGCCCACGGAACAGCTCCTCAGCACATTCTCACCATGATTCGCGCTGTGGTAACTTCCAGTGTCTCCAGCCCACTGCGCACTCACAGCAACCACGGACCGTCTATTCATGTCCATCCCGAAGGGGCTTTGGTCGTGGTTCAGCGTTGGCTGAGGTGGTCGGAGTTCAACGGTTTATCAGGAATCAGAGCGCGCTTTGGTATTAAAGGCCCGGCACTCTGAAATACCAGAGCCGACTACTGCTCCCCCCCCAAAAAAAAACAATCGCACAAGATCCTGCAACCCCACGGCCTAGCAGACAAAGAGAGGAGAAGCAAAGAATCGCTCAAAACCCAATTTCTCACTCAGTTTTTGCTACTTCCATTGGCTACTTCTGGGCCAAAGAATGATAAATTGGCCAAGGTCAAATATTCGTATGGTAGTTTCCCAAAATAGGGGACCCCCAATATATACCCCAAGATGCTATAATCCTTATTATTGAGACCCCAAAATGGTACTACGGAATTTTCCGAAACCCCATATATGTATACATACCTCTGCAGACTCCAAGCCCCAAATTCCCTCTGTATTTGGGATCTTCTTGTAATCTGTTTCGATTAGGGACCCAATCTCCTAATCCCCATAATCCCCTACATAAACCCAGTTTCCNNCATTTGATTCTCCATTATTGTGGGTCATATACCCCTAATTTTGGGAAACCCCCATATTACTCCCTAAACCCTAAACCCTAAACCTCCTTACTGAGACGTAGGCACGATCTGGATTCAAGCAGTCAAACCTGGCACTTCAAAAGCTGGCATCCAAGGTCATCCATGGTCTCAAAAGGAATGGTTTAGGGTTTAGGGTTTAGGGTTTAGGGTTTAGGGATATTAACCCCAATGTTAAGGATTGTATAGGGATTATGGAAAAGGAAACGGAAACTACTATTTAGGGTTTACGGTTTTGGGATATTACCCCCCAATAATGGAGAATCAAATGGAAAAGAACGTGAAACATGAAAGGGAAGCTGGGATTGTGTAGGGTTTATAGGAGCTATAGTCTGGACTCCTTGTATCCCCCCTAGCAACCCCTATAATACCCCCCAGATAATCCCCTTTAAGGAGTTTTAGCCCAATATTCTAGTTCATTTTATTTCCGTGATGCCAGTACAATCCCCTGCAACCCCAACACATAATTGCTTGCATTTGCAAACCTTGCAAACGGGTCAGACATGCCATTCTGGATGAGCTCTTGGGTCGTTGACATTTCGGACCAGGTTGGCAACCTGTGACCACGAACTCACGTGAGCCATTGTCTAAACTTCTTTGTGGGGTTATGTAAGGTTTTTTCAGGGGAGTATTCTAGAGGTTTATATGGAGGAAGATGACGGGTGTTTATATAGGGGAGTATTACAGAACCTAATAAGGGGGATAGTAGGTGTAGACTATAGCTCACGTGGTGCCGTCAAGGTGAGAAGTGGTGCCGAGGCCGGTGCATCTGCCAAGGATGTGAAATCTTCCTCTCTGGTGAAGTCGTTCTTCTGAAATTTGGTACGAAAAAGCACCTCAAGACATGCAGTGAGGGTGTTTTGAGCCCCTAAACCCCAAACCCCAAAACAAGTTCCTTCATCAAGAGTCCCCGCCTTTTCTCGCTCGGGGTCTGGGGTCAGCGTCATTACGCATGGCCTACATGGAGTGAAGCCAGGCAATAATAATGATACGAATAGTAGTAATAAGAACAATAACAATGATAACAGGAATAATAATCCTAGGCGTAGTAATGATAAAGGCTTTATGGTTTAGCGAGAGTAATTGTAGTAGTGAAGGAAAGAATAATCATGTCGAACTCATTCCTTGGGCATTCTGAGGGCCACGCCGGCGCGTGCCAATTCCCTGCGCAACGAAGTTAAAAGGGTAGCCCAGCCTCGGAAAAGAATCGTCCGCTGTGGGATTGTCCCTTGTCGCACCATGTGAGCTACAGTATACTCTAAACTCCTAGAATCCCCTTAATCACCCGTATCATCGCCCCCTATGAAATCCCCTTTCAGGAGTTCAGACTATACCTCATGTGGGATTGTCTTTTGTCCCACCATGTACAGCTTTGTCTCTGGCTGGCATGCTACCATGCCGCAGTTTGCTACTGCAGCCACGGCACAAAAAATTGATTGTTGTTGACTTACCTGACGAGGTATCTCCCACAACCACCTGCCATTGCATCCAACAAACTGGCACTGAGCTTCAAGCAAGCGCAACTAAGCGAAACCTAGTGGGGTTCATACCACGAGAAATCAAAATGGAAAAGACGAATTCCGCCCGCCAAAGAGCTGCAGAGTCTTGGGCAGTCCTGAGTATTTGACTATATTATCGCGATTTCTAGTATATTATAGTTTTTCTGGTATATTCTAATATTTCTAGTATGTTATAGTATACTATAATAGACTACAACATATTCTAGTCGGTTCTAGTATACTATGATCTGTTCTCATATATTCTAATGTACAGATCTGGAGAGATCTGTCACAGGTTGAAAGTCCCCTGAGTCAACATCACCATCCTCATGGTCCAAGGTTGAGAAACCAGCCGGGCCCACAACAGAAAATAGGGGTTTAGGGGTTTAGGGGTAATAACAGCAAAAACAAAAACGACAACGACAGCAACACCACCACAAATAATAGCGATACCCATGATATTCAGAATATGAATAGTCCTAGTAATGATAGTAGTACTACGAATAACAGCCATAATAGTAGTCAGAATAATAGCCATAGCAGTAAAAAATAGTAATGAGAAGAATAAATCCAGCCGGGCCCACAATCTGCTGCCCCTGGTTTTCTAAGATGTCCAAGAGCTTGTTGCGGTCCTTCGGATTGACACTGAATCGAAGACTTTAGCAAAAAGCAAAGACCACGATCATGTTAGTCATAGTAACAGTAGTAACAGTAATACTAAAAATAATTGAGATAACATGAAGACAGAAGAGTAATACTAGTGGTAAGAGTATTATCATAAAAAAATACATGGGTGGTTATCAAAATTATGGTCCCTTTTTGGGTACCCTAAATATTAGGTGCCGTACTAAAATAGGGATCCAAAAAGGGACCATAATTTTGACAACCACCCACATAGATTGCAGCGGCTTCCTGAAGCTTGGAAAGTTGCTCGGGATCCAGATTCGCCTTGACGCCATCCCACCTGGAGAGAGGTACTAAATCTACTACTATTAGTACTGCTATAACTACTATGACTACCAGGACCCTCTTTGTACCCTTAAAATGTGGGTATATGGTCCCAATTTGGGGTATATAGGGGGTAGAAGGAGGGTCTAGGTACTTGTCTTAAAATTATTACTATTTATTTTGCTGTTCCCATTGTTACTATTATTGCTATTGCTGATATTCTTATTGCTACTATTCAGGCTGGGCTTGGCTTGCAGGGCAAAGTCAGGCGAATTCGATGAGTCAGTTTTTTCTAAGGAAGATTCGAGGCTTCGACACATGATAAGAATAGCAAGAATACTAGTAAACATAGTCATAATAGTAATTATAGTAATCAGAATGACAGTAACAATAACAGTAATGATCGCAATAACGTGGGGAACCAGGGGACAAGTTGCACAGCACAGCTTCAGAGGTCGGGATTGAAATGTCTGCTGAAGCTGGAACGCGCTGAGAGTGAGGCTTCGAATCCTTTGTCCACATGTTTCCGGCACAAGCAAGGACTGCAAGCCACACTGAATCTGCTCTTGGCAGTAGTACGGATGCGGCTAAATCGAAGTTCTGGCATGGGCAGTGTAGGAGGACCTGTGAGCCTGTGATGACTGAAGGGTCTTAGACGAGTGTCTGTCGTAGCCAAACGCTGCGGCGTCAGCAGAAGTGACAGGCCCGAGTCGCTCATGCATCCAATGAGCTGCAGTCAATATTTCATACATAAGCTGTAGTCTAAACTCCTTTAAGGGAGATATATAGGGGATGATATAGGGGACTACTATAGGGGATATTAAGGGGGATACTAGAAGTTTAGACTATAGCTCACATAACTTAATCATGGGTTCCTTATTAGGGACTATGTTCGTGACTATGCTAAACTACTCAGATGCACAGAAAAATGCCCAGCACCTGGGCATGCCATGCATTAATCTGCACAGCACAACATCGCTTTTGGACAAGGTCCATTCCTTCGCTGCATAGCATGGACAGGGCGCACCGCCAGCTTTCAGCACTATTCAAGGAGTCCAGAAACTTAGCAGGATTCTCATGAGAAAGATATTGTCGTTATTATTACTGTTAATACAACTCTTATTCTTATTACTATTTATACTATTATTATTGCTAGTTATCCATTGTCATTACTATTTTTTGCTGTGCCATAACTGAGCTTTGCTGGTGCTGCTGAAGCAATCTTTGAAAGATGTGATGCTAACCCGTGACCATGCCATAGCTAGACTTCCGCATTCACAGCTCTCTGCCTGTGCTTTGACAGCAGACGATATTACAATTGCTATTAGGCTTGTTATTTATTCCCATACTACTATGAAAACTGTTCTTCTATTGTTATTACTCTTATCTTATCAATATTGCGATGACTATTCTTACCAGCGTTATAGCTGTGATTCCAGGGAAAGGCAAGAGACTGCCGCTAAGCCCAGGCATGGCATAGATGTTAGCCTTAAACTCCTGGGGTAGATTAGGGTTTAGGGTTTAGGGTTTAGGGTTTCAGGGGCCCCCCTCCAAAATGGAGTTCTATGGTTTTCTCGGCAATATATTTTGGGATTCCGGCCCATGACAACTAGAGCTGGAAAGGATTCCCTATCACACCCCAGAATCGGTCATCTTTGCCTTGCCGGGTCTGGAAATCTCGGCCAGCACGTTAACGGTGTATTCTGCACTGAGACGATTGTTGTGAGAACCATTTTGCGCGCTATTGCTGAGATCCTGCATCGTTCGCATTGCAACTAATTGTCTATGAGAGTCCAAACATTTACATGTCCCTATATATTCTGTGGGTAGGACTCAATTTTCGGGAA